ATCCCTGGAATGTTTTTTAGTTGATTTTAGTGTTGATGCATGATTTTTTATTATTAATTGTTTTTGGCTTTTAACTAGCTGTCAGTAACTGCGAGTACTCTCAAATCGTACTTTCTTGTTTATGACCTGTTGATACTAATTGTAATATGTTTTGTTATTTAATGTTTTTCAGGGTTATATCTGGTCTATATACCAGCTTTGATAAGTGTTTGGTATTACTATAAATTTTCACTTCTTCGTACTATGAACATCAAAATTATTTATTTTGTAAAAATATTTCCTTTCTCTATCTGAACTGTACACGTATACCTAACAACACAATTATTTTTATTTACCTGTGTTTAAAGTAATTGCAAATGGCTGATATATTTGTTCAAGTATATTGTTTTTCTTAAATTGTTTAACATTTCACAGCGGTATAACATGTTACTTAAATCATTCTTCCCTTAGTTTATTTATTTTGTATTTGCATAGTATCATAGATCAAATTTATTTGTTCAGTGTATGTTCACCGGTGTTAATATGTCTTTTGATTGAGTTAAGCCATTTCAATTGATATTTTATAGTGTGTTTTTCTATGTTGTGATGTTACACTATTGTTTCAGATAAGGTTGAAGGTTTGGTACCATTAAAACGTTTTTGAACCTGTCAAGAGTCAGGAATCTGATGTTCAGTAGTTGTCGTTTGTTGATGTGGTTCATAAGTGTTTCTCGTTTCTCGTTTTTTATACAGATTAGACCGTTGGTTTTCCCGTTTGAATGGTTTTACACTAGTAATTTTTGGGGCCCTTTATAGCTTGTCGTTCGGTGTGAGCCAAGGCTCCGTGTTGAAGACCGTACTTTGACCTATAATGGTTGTCTCATTGGCACTCATACCACATCTTCTTATATCTAAATAAATATTTAGGTATAATTAGGTTTGTGTATCTGGTACACAAAATACGAGATTCTTTTTTATCTTTATCTTGTGGTCTTTCTCCGATTCCTTGATAGTATTGTTTCTTGAAATACAGCAGCACGTTTGACTACACGAAATAAGAAATTTGACTCAATTACGCCTGTTCTAATATCGTTACACTGGCTACCCATACATTACCGTTGCCAATATATACTTCTTTTATATGTGTACAAAGCCCAGAATGGCAAGGCTCCTAGCTACCTTCAAGATTTAATCACGCCTTACAAACCCAGTAGATCCCTCAGGTTGGAAAATTGTATGCTCTTACATCCTCCGAATGACGTCCGAACGAACAGCTACGGTGAGAGGCGTTTTGACAAGGCTGCACCTACACTCTGGAACAGTTTGCCATCGTCCTTGCGGAGTGTAAATTCTTTGGATGTTTTTAAAAAGCAACTCAAGACTCACTTATTTCGAACCGCTTTTAAGGATTTCTTGTAGATTTTATATACTTTTAATTGACTGCATTAGTTTAAGACTGTTTTTTTTGTATATGTTAGGGTACATGCATTTTTCATTTTTAGTATTTTATTAATTTTTATATGCTTGTTTGATTCTTGTAAGTTGGTGCTTTGTAATTTATGCTTTATGTATTTTTGTATTCTATTTATTTTTAAATATGAAGCGCTTAGAGTAATTGTTGTTATTATATAATGCGCTGTATAAATATTGTATTTATTATTATTTTATTTATTTCCTGTCGTCGTGAGTGTAGCTAGTCATTATTTAAATCTTGTTCTTCGGTTTACGTACATGGGCAAATATGAGCATTTAATCCAAAGACAAAGTGTATCATTATTTTGATTTATTTGACAAAATGTGGCCGCTAAATCAAAATAAAATGTAGTATTCTCTTCGGTATCTGTCTTAGCAATCCTGTCGCTTGTCATATTTCTTTGATAAGTTGACACAAAAATGAAATTCTATAGTTCTCTACAGGTCCCTATACACTCATTCTCATTTCCTTTAAATAATGTTTTTTAAGTTTGTAACATTTAAAATGAAACACTTTTTTGTATGGTTCATCTCACTTTACAATTTTATAAAAAAGTTTTAATTTCTTAATTTTTGTATAGATGTGACAACGAATGCGTATTTCAATTTCATGTCCATTTTCCATAATTTGGTCAATAGAAAGGTCAACTAAAACGAAATATCCGTAACTCCTACTAATTTGTATATCTATGGGCGTAATCTACACACAAAGAAGTATAATACATGCATAGAAAATTAAAACCAAAGAATGTGTCATCGAGAAGTCAGAGCACAAGAATCTTAGTAAGTAAAAAGTAAGTAAATCTAAATAAGATTCACATGCAAATTTGTAACTACTTTTTGTGCAAATTTGTTACTACTGTTTGTGCTAATAATAATAAAGACTAAATGAATAATCTTTATTCATCAAAACCATAAAAAAAACATTTTGTTTGCTTTTCACTTCCATTGTCTTTAAAAAAAACAGCAGCCATGTTTACCGATTAGAGGATATCAGCGATAACGTTTTCAATTTAACTGCTCCAAGAATTATTGTGATCATGTGTGCTGTAAGAACTTATTTGTTTTACAGGTCTGTTATGTTTTGTTGACTAAAGACAGACACTCTCTTTTGGCCATGACAAACGTGACTCAAATAGGACACCTGAAGTACTAATGATGAAACTTCACTTCTTGTTTGGTATGCACTAGTACCCATGAAAACTTTATTGTTGAATTATAGAGAATTGAAGTAATAGTAGTTCTATTTGGCTCATTCGATGTTTTATTTATCCTGAAAAATAAGAAATGTTATTGGTGGTAAACTGCTACTTTTGCATAGGTACTATTTTTGTACTTAAAATCTGTAGTACTGGAAATTTCTGTAGTACTGGAAATTTACTTTTAATATTTAGTACTATTTCTTTACTGTTGTAATATTGTAATATTTAGGTACCTGTATTTTACAGTACTTGATTTGTACTTAAACTTTTGGTACAGAAATAATACCAACAGTGATCGCAATATTCCATGTTTGAAAATCATAACTTTAAGAAATTCGAAATAGACAAACTTTCAAAATGCTGAAAATGTAACGGTGTAACCAAAAATCTGAAGTACTTAAATTTCAAGTACAAATCAAGTACTGTAAAATACAGGTACCTTAATATTACAATAATTTTAAAGTAACAAAATATTATTGAATATTAAAAGTAGATTTCCAGTACTACAGATTTTTGGTACAGAAATAGTACCTATGCGAAAGTAGTTGTGTACAGGCCACGGAATTTGTTTATTTGTCGAAGCATGGAAGTAATATTTAAAAGGAATAACAACGACTAATTAGCATGTATTAACAGCCTGCAGAGCTCTGTACTAAAGTCATATGATTTTATCCAATTATAGTCTCAGCGGCAATACCCCTTTGGTTACTATCTGTGATACCGCGGTTGTAAAATGGCATCTGGAATTTCTTATCAGTCACGTGATTTTATCGAGTCCGGTAATTATAAAGCACCTGTGTGAAATCCGAGGTTTATTAATAAGAAGGTGGCGCTGTATCATATAAAACCTCTACCTTCAGAAAGAAGTCGTATGATGTAAAAAACTTGAAAAACGGACGAGAATTGTTCAACCTACAACAGTTTAGCATGGAAAATTGTATTTAATTTAGCATATTTTTGCTTTTTACCGTTTGTTTTAAACTGTTCTAAAAGTATTTTCCGGTTAAAAGCGGATCCCGAGTAAAACAGTTAAATACCGATGAATCGATCAGGTTTCACATGATGTTGAACAAAATAATGTAGACAGATGTAGACATAGAATATTTTACTGTTGAAATGTGCCAAGTTTATCGAGATTTATAAAAATATTTACTTTCAAGTAATTGATTACGTTATTGAAACTGGACAATTAAAATCGGGATCATAAGTTCGTTAACATGTTAAATTTATATCTATTTTAAAAAAGTGTTTACAATTGAATACTAATATTAATGTAGCACGTTACAGCAAAAAGAAAATCAACCATACAAAACGAGCTTGACGCTATCTGTCTAACCGCAAATTAATTTTATATGAATTTGTTTATGTACAAATTAAAGAACAGAAACGTTTAAAGTTGTGAATATTTGATTTTCCTGGTATACACGGAAGACTTGGATTATTCGTATTTAATAAAAGGGGGTCGACACATATTTTTTTGTACAATCATCTTCTTAACTTTCAGAAATGGCTTCTTAATTAACTGGTTTTAAGTATTAAAATTGAAAATGATCCACCCTTTTTCTTAAATTCAATATGTGATAACTGTCGGCCTAAACTATTAAGATCGAAAAGGACATAAATAGGAAAAATAGACAAAAATCAACATTGAATGACTGACTCTATTCGGTAGCGTACAGCAGCGGAATGTAACGAGTGAACTATTCGGGTTACTTCGTACGTACATACGACAACAACTGGTCTATTCGTAATTTTCCGGGAACACGAAAATGACCGAAAAGTGTCAGTGATTTGATCTATCACATGCCGAGAGTCAATTACCATGCCATATATTAAACCAATTAACGAGTTATCGAAAGATGGGCGGTAACGCAGATGAAACCTTTGAAGTGACGACGTTGTTATTCCTTTCAATATTACTTCCATGGTCGAAGCCACAAACAGTCTTCCTTTCCTCAACTATGGTTCTATACCGGCTTCGACCTATCAACGAAACATGACGGATGACACTGGTGGAAAATGAACTTCTTATCCTTCCGGAGAACCGAAGTTCAAAATGCTTGTTTAGTAGGGTTAGTGCAAAATTATTTACTTTGTAGTCATTTGTGGAATTATGTTTGTGTTTTGTCTTTGTTCCAGTTGTTGTCCGTCCTCCACTACTTAATGTTTGGATAATGTCCTTGTAATTTTCTTACAATTTTCGAGTTATCAAAAACAAATTTTGACAAAAATATTTATTTTTCATTTTTTCTTCAATAATCATTATTACAGTGAATCAGCAATCAAAAATTGAGACAGTAACAGATGTTTCAGATTAAAAATTGACTTGAATATTACCATAATGCTGTCTTGTAGACTCCGTTGACCCTTATATTGTTGTTCCGTATACTCTGACTGATTCAGACCTATCTGCATATATAATATAAAACAATATATAAGGCTATATGCATCATAAAGCATGTCATGTAAAATTGTAACAACATAAAGTGAGAGTAAAAACCTCAGCGTCGATTCCACTTGAAAAAGATTATTTGCTTTCAATGATGTAGGGTTCTGACAATACAAAAATATATATCAAGCCGACAAGGAAAGGCATTAACTTTCTAAAGAAATCTATATTTTGTATAGCCTACTTAGGCGAGTGCTTTATGCTTCAGAACACGGGGAGAGCGATGCTCCCAATGATGTCCCAATAGCTTGAATTCAAATGATGCTAGTCGAAAATTATAGATTTGCTAGTGCGAAAATGAAGTTCTGTCATTTTTTAATTCAAGACCATCCTTATTTATAATATGATATTATATTTATCTATAAAAACTTTTTAACAGTTAAACTGCTCGAAAAATTTAAATCATCTACTTGAAAATAACTGTACTAGTTAGTGATATGTTACTTAGCTGTATTATAACTGTTTTATACCTGATGGTTGTTCAGTTGGAACCAGATAACTCACTGTATTCACAGACAACGTAATGGTTACACTATTACCTGAAGAAAAACATAACTCTTCAATTTCCAGAATTCAGAAATTTGAAAACAGCCAATTAATCTACCGAGTACTATATATACTTTGTTAAACAAATCAGGAACAAGGTTTTGTGTATGTATTCCTTTCCTTCAATACATCTAATAAGTTGCATATAGTCTTTGAATTCTCTTAAGAACCCCTATCGCTCAAACTGTATCTTTTTCGATTTGCTAAGGATTTTTTACCCCAGGCACAGATAACATTAGCTGTATTTGGCAAAATCGTCCGGAATTTTTAGGTCCTCAATGCTCTTCAACTTGCAATTTAATTGGTCTTTTTTAAAACTTGTTTTATTCGAGCGTCACTAATAAATTTGTTGTAGACGAAATGCGTGCGCGGTCTTGCGAAATATATTTTAAGCCTGTTATCTCTGATGAGTTTATCATCGAATTGTTCTATACATATAATCAAAAATTTTACTTCTCATTAGCCCTACCTGATGAAATGATCGATTTTTTTCAAAACATATTTTAACATTTGGGTCTGCTTATGCTCTACGAAATAAATCTATTTCCAAATTATTATTTACTACCTACTCTAGGGGTGGTGTGGAGTATATGAAGCTACTAAAAATTCAAAAGTTCTGTAACAATCAACATCTCTCTGTTAATGCAATAGTATATAAACATTTTACTTTTCTACTCTTTACACCAACATACCTTATTCTAAACTTAAAGACAGATAAATAGAATTTGTCTAGCTTTGTTTAATAGAAATAGTTTGTCCAACGCTGATACGAATACCACTCTGATTCACTGAAATTGACATTACCAAATGGTGTAACATATTTGTTACATTTGGAGATCATGTTTCTCAACAGACAATATGTTTTCCTATGGGATAAAATTGAGAATGGAAATAGGGAAATGTGTCAAAGAGACAACAACCCGACCAAAGAGCAGAAAACAGCCCAAGGCCACCAATGGGTCTTCAACACAACGAAAAAAATCCCGCTCCCGGAGGCGGTCTTCAGCTGGTCCTTAAATAAAAATGTGTACTAGTATAGTGAAAATTGACGTCACACTAAACTCCGAAACATATAAATGAACTAAAATTAAAAGAAAACATACAAGACTCACAAAGGCTAGAGGCTACTGACTTGGGACAGGTGCAAAAATAAGGCGGGGTTAAACATGTTTTGTGAGATCTCAATCCTCCCCTTATACATCTAGCCAATGTAGAATAAACAAACACACAGCAATACGCACAGTAAAAATCAGTTTAAAAGAAGTCCGAGTCCGATGTCAGAATAGGTAACAAAAGAAACTAAGCAAAATGACAATGATACACAAATTAACAAAGGACTACTAGCACTTACTGACATGCCAGCTCCAGACCTCAAATAAACTGATTGAAAGATTATGTCTTCATTATATCAAAATCAAGCACAATCCCTCCCGTTAGGGGTTTAGTTTCATACCATCATAAAATATATGAGAAGAACACAACCCGTATCATGCCAACAACTGGTTTTAGAATAAATGTGTTTATTTCCGATGCTAAGACCCTATGAGTGAATCAATATTAATTCCAAAATATGCCATCTTAAATGACCTGACAACAGTAGAGTAACTATATCCCTTTGAATGAGTCTGTTTAAAGGTTTGGTTAGCTTTTGAGGTGAATGACGACATTTTTGTGTTAAAGATATATATATCAGGACCCAGGAAAAGGCATTTTCACTGTTAGTATGAGCTTTTTTTAAAGTCAGTTCAGCAGAATAAATCTCTTTAGTGTACATACATTATTGAGCCCCAATATATCATCCAAATTTCTAAAAGTGTTATCAAAGTTTTGTATCAGATGTTGTTTCGATGGGTCTTTGCTGATTTAAGTCATAAATTGTAACTCATGAAAATACAGAAACAGGTCGGCAATAAGTGGTGCACAGTTAGTCTCCATTGGAATTCCGATAACTTGACGATATACGGAATCTCCATAGCGAACAAAAAAATTTTCTAGTAAAAATTCAAGTGCAGTTATCGTATCAAAGCAAGTCCAATTGACATAGTTCTTTTGTTTGTTGTTACTAAAAAAAATGACCTAAAAGAGTTTGAACATATATATTCGCATTCTGACCTTTTAAATGCTCTTTTAATTAGATGTGTGATTTTTTTTCTTAATGAGATTATGAGGCAAAGTGGTATATAGGGTAGAAAATTCAAAACTTTGAACAGATTCGAAATCACCAACATAAGCATGCAATTTATCAAGTACTTCAAACGAACTTTTGACACTCATGTAATTCATTCCACCATTTTCAAATGCCTTATTTGAACAATTTATTACCAGGTTTTTGATTGTACCAAGTGTACTAGTAAGTAGAATAGACAGTTTATTAGTGGAACAATGGCTTGAAGACGAAATAAATCTATATGTGTAAGGTGTTTTGTGCAGCTTCGGAAGCCAGTACATAGTTGGAACTTTCATTGTATTTGGTTCTGCTTATAAAGAGATAGCTAAAAGTTTTTATGTTTGTTACAGATGATATTTTCTGAAAATGGAGTCAGTTTGAATGTCTTCCTATGGGAGCCAATTTAGCCCTTTGCACCTCATCCCCTTATTTTTAAACTATTTCCTTTTTTCTAATAAGGCAGACGTTTATAGAAAAGCTTCTAAAGGTAAATGAAAAAAGCAGGATTTGTCTTTTAACTTTCACTTTCCGTTATATGATCATTTCCTTTCACTGAATAATTAAAAATAGTGTTGTGACTATTTTGAATGCATCTATCCCAATGAACTTGAAAAAATAATACCACAGAAACATTCAAGTCTGCCTCTTAATTTCACTTACATCTAGAAATTGACAATGAGGGTCGGATGAGAACTAAACTTTACTGCAAAAGAGATAATTTCAATTTCCGCTTTGTGAATTTTCTGCGTAATAACATTCTTGCAGTATACGTACCTGCAGACAAAGTATATATCTCCCCGTTGATATAAATAAGTCTAAATTGAAACAACGTTCAAACCTATGATTTCGTTGGATAAAAACCGTAATTTTTATACGTGTGCATACAAAACAAATTTCTTGGTAGAGGGGTCTAAATACAGCACAAACAACATTTTCCAAAAGACCAAAAAAGTGAAAAAGTATATTTAAACAAAACGCATTTGACTAACAGGTCGAACCACGGATGTTCTTAAACCATGCTGACTGTCATTTGCAATTGCAAAATAAACGGATCACCAGATGTAACAAAATGGATCTTTATTATTAATTTAATACCAAACAGAAAACAATAAACTTGCGAAAAAGATGGTATACCGCAAACATGAGGTGCAAAAATTTGTACACCATATCCGGATTATTATGACATTCTAGGGATTGCGTTTCCTTTCAGGATTTTCTTGATAGAGTGTTACTGCTTCTAATTATTGCATTAAGGGTTCAAAGTGGTTATGCTAAAACAATCCTTCGAAACTTTTACTAACGCCATAATGATTGGTTGACCGTTATGGAATATATGTGTCAGGGATATATTCCAATCACAATTCCATCCTCTTTTTCTCGATTGTGATTTTAAACGAAAACTACTTATTACCGGATGTTTACTTGCTTGAGTAATACGACGGATGCCACATGTAGAGCATAAAATGATTATCATTCCAGAACACTCTAGTTCACACCCGGGTTTTGTCGAGTTCGTGTTAATCCGTCTTTGATTTGTCTGTGTAATTTTTTGTTTTTGTTGTTTGTCCTTTCTTCGTTTTTATGTCTGCAATGATAGTGTCTGTTTTTATTGGGCTTATAATTTTCGAGTATATTTTCTCTTTCTTTTTTTTTAACAAAGAAATTTCTTGTGCGAGTGAAACCATTTTTTATAAAGGAGTAGGCCCGGTAAGACCCCTTTTTGGCCAAAAAATATAGCAATTTTACAAATTTGTTAAAAATGTAAACTTTTAGCTATCATTGAAAAGTAGGATACTTTTGTTACATAAATATGGGCTGTCTTTTACCATACAATGCACGTGCATCAGGTACTAGCATCATTAATTCATCCAAAATAACAAAAATCGTCACAATTTTAGCGTTTGTGCTAATTTTTAGACGGTTTTTGTCTAAAATGAAAGTGGCCGCACTTGTGTTTAGTCTTTATATTTATATGTATGTTGTAATTGATGATAATACATAACATATATAAAGGTTGAGACTGAAAACGAATGCGGCCACTAACATTTTAGACAAAAACCATCTGAAAAGTGACGTTTTATGGCATATTTGATAGATGTTTCATATTGAAGCTGGAATTTAAGCGTCTTTCAAATATCTTTCATCAGATGTACCTTAAATTTTAGGCAATAATTAGCCCTTACCGGACCTTCTCCTTTGAAAATAGTTGAATATATTATAACAGAAATCGCTAAATATATATAGTCTTCGAATATATTCTATGTTTAAATTATAGCTAGGCGTCAAGTATGTGGGCTATATCTTTGGTTGTTTTTGTCACTTTTCTTGTTTATAATTGTTTGGAGTGGTAATTATTTACCTGATATCGAATGTGTTGCTGTTGATTTTAAAAAGCTTTGATCTCCTATGCACCCGTGAATATGGTGACATCTGAAAAATTGGGTTGATTGTACTTATCATCAATATGCATAACTTATACTGTGAACATAAGGAAAACGATCATTAATGATTAAAAGTAATTTGCAAATGATAATCACATTCCGACTTGGTATAGTGCAGAACAACAACAACGAAAAACGTCCACACAAAATAGTTCTGTATTTTGTCAAGTTTATACACAATACATTCTAATTCATAGAACAGAGTATTTTTTTCATAAAACATGTACATAAATATGATTTGTATTTTCGAATATTATTTTGAATCGCATAATAAATTATGGTATCATATCTGGAAACGTCACACATTGCAATAAATCTTTGTTAATTTGAATAAAACTTACTTTTGGTTGACCTGACAATTACATTTGGTGATACATCTATAACCGTAGACATTCTCACTACAATGTTTACACGGTTGACCTTTGTATGTATAAATCCAATTCCACATGCTAAATTATGAAAAATAAATGATTTCTTGTAACTCAGCAAAGATACCCAGTTTATATGGAGAGTATATGTTACAGACATCGCTAAATCATGATTAGTTTTTAGAGAGATTTTATCTTCAAATATTGCAACTTGGACAAACAGATGTCATTTTTAATTTTTCAACAAATGTCACGCAAGATTAATTTTCAAATCGTCTTCTTATCATTACCTTAAGTCATAGGCTTACGGTGTCAGGTATTTATAGCTAACACCATCATGATGCATAATATAAACTCGACTACATTTTTAAAAAAGTTTGACCACAGAGAGGCGAAAGATATCAAAGGGACATTCAAACTCATAATTCGAAAATAAACTGACAACGCAATGACTTAAAAGAAAAAAACACACAACAACAGACAAAAAAAAAGCACACAAAACACATAGAAAACTAAAGACTGAGCAACACGAACCCCACCAAAAACTGGGGGTGATCATTGAGTGAACAAATACTGTTTATAAGCCACACAATGTTCTTGTATATCAAAATGCAATAGGTGACCAACTTTAATGAGTAAAGCTTACAAGTTTTAATTTGATAATTTACTTCTCAAGAATGGGAAGTTAACAATAGGAAAACGGCATGATATTATATTGTTTTTCATAGATCTTATTTTTAAGTCGTTCATTCATAACCTTTTTAGAAAAAGGCTCGCTGAATCATGAACGCACAAACAATGTACAGAAATGATAGAATCAATAAATATATATTATTCTTTGAAAGTATATTTACCAACCCGACGAACACCATGAGGCTAACACATAGATTACACATTAATTTGGTTGACAGTTTAGACTTGTCAACTCTTTACACTATACTTCCACACAGTCTCATCAAACAAAAGTTTTCCTATTTATTCATATATTAACTCATATAACGCCTTCTTCTCTAATGAAGTTGTGATGAAACGATTAAAGCTGTAAATTTTCTCTTTCACAACATTTATGTACGCTTCGGCAATACAGTTTATCGACAGGTTATAGGTATTCATATGGGCACCAGTAGTGCCCCTTTGATAGCAGACTTGTTTTTGTACTGTAATGAATCACAGTTTATGGCCAAACTCAGTAAAGCCCGTCTAAATTCTATTTAATCGATAAATTGAATAGCACTTACCGTTATCTTGACGATACTTTTTCGTTGAATAATCAAAATTTCTCTAAATATACTGCCGAAATTTAATAAAAGGAACTTACTTTAAATAAATCAAATATGAACAGCAATAACTGTCCTTTCCTAGACTTAGACATTTCAATTTTACATGGGAAACTCCACAGAAAAATTAACGAAAAAAGGGACGATTTTTCGTTCCCTATCGCAAATGTTCCTTTTTTAGACGGTGATGTTCCTTTATCACCATTTTACGGTGTTAATATATCCCAACTCGTTCGCTATCACCCTGTCTGTATAGTGATATATTGTGTTTCAATGACCGTAATCGATGTATTACTGGTAAATTGTTAAGTCAAGGATTTAGTTACTACAAATTACTTAAAATCTTTACTAAATTCTTCCATAGATACAAAGATTTGGTTTGGAAGTTTGACTGTACCTATTAAATCTTATTGCAAACGGAATATCACATCCTTATTTTACGGTGGTGTTGTTTGCAGAGCCCGTAAATGTATATAATATACGAGTAAACTTATCGATCCTTTGAATAAACGTATTCTAAAAGGTTATCAATTCAACACTTTTAATTAGATCTTTGAATATTGTTTTTATTGGTATCAAACTAAATATTATTGTTATACACATATGTATATTAAACGGTCTTACAATCTGTCGATACCTATATTTTTGCATTGCACAAATTCATGTTTTTCTCTGACTGTTGATGACGTCTTTTCACTGGATGTTGGATGTGTACTGCATGATTGACACTTAAGTTTTATATGCATGATTTTTCTATTTGGTGTTATTGGCTTCGAACTAGCTTTCAGTAACTACGAGTACTTTGTGTCTCTTGTGTTTTGTGCTGTGTACCGATCTGATGATTTAAGCCCTTTTCAACTGATTTTTCTAGTTTGTTCTGATGTTGTACTGTTATGCCACTATCTCAGATTCGGGGGAGGGTTTAGTCCCCGCAAACATGTTTAACCCTGCCACATTCTGTATGTGCCTGTCGCAAGTTAGGAGCCTGTAATTCAGTGGTTGTCGTTTATTGCTGTTCATCATATATGTTTTTCGTTTACTATTTTGTACATAAATCAGGCTGTTAGTTTTCTCGTTTGAATTGTTTTACTTTGTCATTCGGGGCCTTTTATAGGTATAAATATGCGGTATGGGTTTTGTTCTTTGTTGCAGGCCGTACGTGACATATAAATGTGAACTCTGACGTCATTTTGTCTCTGGTGAAGAGTTTTCACATTGGCAATCACACCACATCTTCTTATATTTATATTTAAGAAATTATCAAAAGGAATATGTATCCCGTGGGAGACAAAAGCAATACGTGATAAAAGTATTCTTAAGCAAAACACCTTTCTTTGATAATAAACTCAACGTTAAATACTAAACACAAGGCCTTCAATATTTAAAATATAGTATAACTCCATTTTAAACTCATCTCACTTCTTTCGAAAACTGCGTTCAAAACAAAACATCATTTGGTCTCTGGTGGATAGTTATCTCATTGGCAAGCATGAGACATCTACTTATTTTCATGTTATTTTAAAATCTGTTATGGAGAAAATCAATACAAAACTAGTATCTCAATTGTTTGTAAAACAATTGAAAGGTCTTTCCCGTGAAAGTCTGATGTTCGTAATGCGCTCTTTGCGACCTTCAATTGGAAAGGCGACAAGCATACGTTCTTTAACTTTTCACTTTTAGCACTTAATGACCCCATTCACCTTAATTTTCGAGATTGGAGGTATGATATTTTCAATGTAGACTTTTAAATGACCTTGCATTTAATATGCGACAAGACCATCTTCTAGAAAGTTTGATTTTTGCACTTAATTACCCGATCCAACTCATTTTTGGGGGACAGGAATTTGATATTTGAATTGTACACATTATGACTTTTCATTTGATATACGACAACCTTACCTTAGAAGACAATTTATATTTTGCACTCAATGACCCAACCCAACCCATTTAGGGTGATGTATTTTTTTTCGTTTTTTAATACAGCTCATTTGGATGTTCAATTTAATATGTCACATGACCCCATTTGACAAAGTCCTAAAAATGATGCAATATCAATTTTATAAATAGAACTTATGAAACTTACAGAGTCAATGCAAAACATGAAAAGTTCAAAATGGTTTTTTTTTTTGGTTTTTCATCGAATGTTTTTGGTAATTAGTCAAACATATAACAATGTTTAACTCTTCAATTTCTGAAAATTTCAGGTGGCTATTGTTGATTCAGAAATACATGCCCCCGCTCGCAAAATTTTAAACTGCATTATCTCTACAATTCCAAAGTTCATCAAGGTCACACTGAATAATCAAATATATGATGCAACACCAAACTTGAGAACTGGAAGTCGTAGAGACATGGGACTACCACCATTCAACTCAGGACCACTTCACCTTTCAAATGTTACAAGGTCAAGGTCATAGAACACTTTGAAGGTCATGGTAAAATTTCATAATGACTTTGACATTGACCGCAAATTGAAAGTCTTGAAATGCTGATCATTTTTGCAATTTATAGCAGGTTAATATCTGTTACCGTTTCAAAGATATACACAAAATACTCTAATTTTAAGAATAATCTCGTCGTAAAAATTTGAACGGATGGTCGGACAGTTTTGAGCATAATGTATAAACTGTAGAGCTCGTCGAGAGGAATGTTTTATTCAAGCTGTCTGTATGCAGAAATTTCTTACTGTTTTCTTAATATGTAAGCTTGAAATTTCATCGTAAAAATTTTTTTGCACTTTGTGACCTTTGACCTAGTGTGCAAATGAAATTTCACATGACCTAAACATTGTTGGTGAAGGTCCAAAGTCTCCACGACTTCCGGTTCTCGAAATATAATTTTTCAAATTTGTGCATAATATTTAAAGGTAAGGGTTAATAACAAAACAATTGTTTTTTTTTAGCATTGCCATCTGTATCTGTACATGTTACCATTTTCAAATCGATTCTATCTGTATATATTTAAGAAAATAAGAAAATACAAGGAATTGTTTCAAGGGGATATAACTCTCAGAGGGGATAATGACATCATAAGCAGGATCATCTGATAAAACTTCATGATGAGATTTACCTTGTTCAAATAAGTTCATGATATCTTCAAAAATAACGAGGGGGTTCATGTTGAAAAAAAACAATAAAAGAGAGATAACTTCTAAAATGGGATGATGAAATCCTACACAGAGTCATCTGGTAATACTTCGTGATGAGGTCTATCGATGGTCCAAATTTGATCATGATAACTTCAATAGAAACGGGGGGGGGGGGGGGGGGGGGGGGAGGCTATGTAAAAAAAATGTTAGAAGAAGAAAAAAGAAAAAAACATTAGAAAAACAATAAAGTCTTTCCTCAAGTAGTGGAAAGACCTTGAATAAACTACCAGTTGGATATGTAGGTAGCCGGAAAACTTATCCAAATAAAGATATGAATATGCACGAGTTGTATTGTAAAAGTTAATGAAATTATACACGAATCTAAACTTAATTGCAGTTAGTTCTATGTAAACTCGTTTTGTCGGTTTCAATATGCATCTTTGGAATAAAGCTGTATTGAATGTTCTGTGATTGGCAAATTGTTTATATGCTATCGTCCTTTCAATTACAGACTACTACCATTTTTTACAGTTCAGAATTCCAAGCGCTGAAACATTGGAAGTTTGATCAGTACTACCGCAGCTATTAGTTGCCAAAAATAATAATCACGCATGAAATTTCGATGGGATTTTGAAAGGCGGGTATCACATGAAACTTTTATGATTTATCGAAATAAGAGACTTACTTACCTACACATTTCCCGTCTTTTTCCACATAAT